TACACTAGTGATGTTTTTAGGGTTGTGCTGAGCACAACCACAAAGGGTAATTCATGAAGGGTAGTGTAGGTATTTTAGAATAAAAATGCAAAATATTATATTTCAAAGTACAATGTCATACTAGGAAAAAGTTAAAGTTGAATTCTATAAAAAGGAAAAAAAATTATTAGGTTATAATTGAATGACTTTACAAAGTCAATGTACATTATTGACTGTTTTTTATCATCAATATATTTATTCATTCATAAAAAAAGTTTATTGATTAAACAATCAGTCTCTTGTAGCTAATATAGTCATAAGTATATTACCAAATATTCAAACACTTACAGTGTGGTATCAGATTGTCATTTCTTATCAATAAAGCTAAAATCTCAAAATCATCCACTTCCGAATCTGTAATATCTAAAATAACTTCATCACAACTCATGCTTTGTTACAATTCCTCTGTAATATGCTATGAAATTGATCGGCCCCGTGTAGATACAAGTGAAGATATGGTTTTAAATTATTTATTTAAAGCATTGATGAATATATGTTATTAGTAAAAGGGACACATACATGTAGGAAAAAAATTTGGATGTACGTGTAGGAGTATTTTCTGTTCTTTATTGTTCAAGTTGATTCCATAATATCAATATGAATTGCATTATGTAAAATATAAAATGCACTGCTATTATACATCGGAACACACGTTATAACTCATAAAATAGGTAAATTGGTAAATACCACTTCTAAACCAGTTATTTCTTAAGCAAATGCTATATGATTACATATAATATAAAATACTTACTTAAGCTTACACACAAATGACACAATAAACCAAAATTAAAGAAGAACAAGACAAAGCAACTCATGTCAAACGGATTAACTCTATATTTTTTTTCTTATATGTCATCCAATTTCTTTAACAAAAGGGAATAAGAAGGATGGTAAAGAAAAAGCATCTGATTGAAATTATCTCCCAATTATAATTCACGTATCAACATAAGAGTATTTGAAATTAGCGGCAAATGCTAAGAACGGGAAGTGCTTCCCGACAATCGCGTCAACAGGGCGGGTCCATAGGTTTTTTATGCCCTGGGCAAAAAGACTAATAATGGCCACTTTTTCTACCATACAATGCATGTTGTACCCAACTATATACAACATAATTTTTTGAAAACAACCTGGAAACTCATTTTTTCATTAAAATTATTCATAATACATACAAAAACTTGCAAACTTCATCTAAACATTATCCCCATGCTTTCTTTGAAGAAAAAATATTATTTACCTATTTTTTGGAATGACATCCAATTTTATTAGAAAAGCTAGCGTAATTACAACAATCAAATATAAGCAAAAAAATTAGCAATAAACTTTAAGAGGGAGACACAAAATGACAACAAACTTTAAGCAAAAGAATCAACCATGAATTTCTTAATACCTATTTCACTTTAGCTTTCATAACCTCCCCATATAAAAAGACAAAAAAATAGGTAATTTGTAAAAGAAAAAAATACAGAAATGAAGGCCTAAACTAACTACATAAATAAAAAGAATCAAGGTTGGATGTTTTATTTAGAGAGTAGTTCCGGTCATATATTCATATTCGGTAAAAGCAACAATAATCAAAGAAATAAAAGTCAAAGAGAATCCAAGTTTAATTCACTAAAGTGAACTTATAACAAATTTTGAGTGTTCCAAATTTGTATAAAGTGATACTATTTAGTTTATAATATTAGAAAAGTGTCGCGTACCTTAATTAAAAGGGTGTTCACCTTGTTTTTTCTATTAAAGATTAAGCTAATTTTCCACATTATCATTTTGATTCGGTTTAGTTGTAATGCACAAATTGCAACCAAAATAATTTAACAACTTGCTTTTCTCAACAACAATTACAATTTGGAGAAAAAAAATTGGTAATTGTTATAAGGGAAAATGACTTTTAAAAGGGTAAGATATTTTTCATATCTTTAGGGATTTAATAGCTTTCTCTGGACTCTAATCACAATTAAACATAAAAAGAACACTTTATTCCTATCTTTAGGTTTTTAAAACATAAAAAATTAAACAATCGGTAAGATAGTTACTATAGAGAAAGGCATAGAGAACTTGTGGTCCTTAGGGAGAAACTCAAACAAACACTGAAATAAAATATTCTAAAGTATAGATACACAGGGGAAACTCGGAACTCATAAATCACTAACCATAAAATATTTCAGAAATCAGCAGTGGTTCTAGCCCTTCTCAAAATCGGAATCAATTACGTACTGTGACACCAGTCAAATTTTGGTCAAAAATAAATTGATCTATAATCGTGATTGGGATGAACAAAGTGGTAGAGATTGTAACAAGGTTTCTAAAAATATAAAGAACACTGAAATCCGAGTTATAACGAAGAAGTTATGACCAATTGAAGATCCGCGACAAAACCGGCAAAACACTATTCAGTGTAAAATGTGAATTTTCGAAAAAAGGCTTTTTAGCCTTAACAATCTAAATGAAAGTTGTAGAATATGTTAAACCGAGAACTTTCATAAAAAAAACGTAAAAATTTGACTTCGTATGAGGAAGTTATGATTTTTCTAAGTTTCAGTTTAGCAGTAGACAGCTAAAAATTCGAAATATAAAATGATCGATATTTAGCCAACACAACTTAAATGATAATCGAAGGTCTCGTCAAAAGTAGTACAACGGTAAAAAAAACAGATGAAAACGGACGTCGGATGATGAAGTTACGAATTTTTAACGGATTTCCTGTCCTGGTATGTTAAAA